GTCAACACCGCATAACTTTTGGATTTTTTCCCTCACCACATTCTTTTTCATGTCCCTGGGCGCAAAACCCACAAGGCAATTTTCTAGGTTTGAATACAGTGAGCTACAGGATTGATGCCGATTTATTTTCATTCATTTCCGAAACTTTCGACAGTGAAACCGATCCCAACTGTCTTGGGTCCATTTCTTCTCAGTGATCTCAGTATAAAAGCTCTCAGGCGTATAATGTTTATTATCGGAGATTCAATAGCAAGAGATCCAGGGGTGGCACAGTCGGGCGGCACTCGCCCTCCTATTTTATTGATTGAAACACATTTTCATTTGTTATAACAACAAATTTCGTTGGCTTTCCCAACTGCAGAATAATTTGATATTTTCAAAGAAAAATTCTCACAAAAGATGTGTCCCATATCTTTTTGGGTTACCCCAAAAGTTTCCACAAATGCATTGCATCTGCCGCTCCTTTTCTTGAATGTGAATGTTTGATCCATCACTTACTCTAGTCAGACAGGTCTGCCCGAAAAATGCAAGCGGGAAATTAAAATAATGAAATGAAAACGAAAGAAAGAAACAACCCCTAGTTGCTCGAATTTCAACAACAGAAAACGGCATCGAGATTGCAATGGATGTCAAATCAGTAATTAGCTTAAGGTTTTACCCCATTGTCGCCTGAAAAGGCGCACAGGCCGTCCTGTTCCCCCCGATCCACCCACCCATCCACCCACGTACACACACACGGTAACCCATGTTAGACCTAATTTTGATCAGGCTGACTGAAACTTAATGTTGTCATTTCAATTAATCCATGCCTCATTGGCCATAAGTTTAAAATCGGAATTCAGGGTGACAAAAATGGCATAGCCAAGTAGCTCCCTTTTCAAACTCAATACTTCCCAAATGTACCTGTTATTTCAAACTGGTTTTTATGGGTAGTTCAGTAACGCCTCCTGGGGGGATGAGGGCATAAAACAAGACCCCTCCCCCCTAAAAAGTGAATTCGGCAAACACGACTGATATACAGGAAAATGTCAAAGTGATCATAATCTCACAAAACATGCAGTTTTACTATTTAGTTCCTGAATGTCACACACACAGACTGGACATATTATGTAATATGCAACACAAAGCTTGAGGGCGCTATTTCAAATTAATGTGGGAGAAGCACAGTTGTAACAGGACGCATTTCACCAAATGGTTGGAATTCTGGGCGCAAGCTCATTAGTAATTGGTGATCCCTCGGTTTTGTTTTTACAATAAAACATGCCATAATCAGGAGGGATCATAGAAATATTTCTATAAATCCCGAATTATGTAATATGGTAGACTGGTAGATTCCACGTCCGGATGCTTCTTGTACAAAAAGCCCCAAAATTGCGGGCCCATTTTGAATAGAGGCGGGCGGCTACCTCTAGAGTTTAGCGCATAGTCTTACTACTATTTTAGGAGTATTTTTGGGGAAAGGTGAATAAAAAACTTTTTCGCGGCTAACCCCCATCACATTGAAACGAAAAGTGATCATCTGGCCACAATCCTGAATTTCCAGTGAAAAAATGGAAATAAAATTTATTCATATATTAATCAGCTTAAAAAGTTGAGCTCACACCCTGACATGACTTGATTTCCGGTAATTCACTGCTGCCTACACCTCAACCATTATTCTTTCCATATTTATTCATTCCAGGTGCGGAGTTCAGTTTTTCTTCACAATCTGACGATTAG